CTGGGGTCCAAGCACTTGGGCAATTCTCCACTGCTTTCCTAGCTGCATTAGCAGGGAGCTGGATTGGAAGTGGAGCAGCAGGGACTTGAACTGGTGCCCATAAGGGATGCTGGTGCTGCAGGAAGCAGCTTTAGCTATGCCATAGCACTGACTCCAAAATTTATCTTTTAACTACATTTTCCATGAACTTTTTGAAGTTTTCTAATACAGTCGGAAATATTGATATGTTTATTTATTAAACATAAGAACCTCTATTTATCAAAAGGAACCATAGTCTGAATACAAAGATAGCCATACCTGAGAGATTATGTTTATATTACAAAAAAATCAATATAGATTTTTGTGAGGACTGTAAAGAATACATATAAATAAATAAGGAAAAGAAAAGTATAGGAAAAAGTGCTGAATAAGGAAGTTGACATTGTGGTGCAGTGGGTTAAGCCACCACCAGCAACACTGGCATCCCACATGAGTGCTGATTTGAGTCTGGGCTCCTCCATTTATGATCCAACTCCCTGATAATGAGCCTGGGAAAACAGAGGAAGATGGCGCAAGCTTGGGCCCCGGCATCATGTGGGAAACAGATGGAGTTCCACATTCCTGGCTTCAACCTGGCCCAGCCCTGGCAGTTGCAGTCCTTTGGGAGAATGAACCAGTCGATAGAAGATTCTCTCTGTCTCTCCCTTTCTCCCTCTTTTCATAACTCTTTCAAATAAATAAATTTTTAAAGTGCTTGATAAATATTTCACTTACCCAGGAAAATGGAAACATGCATCACCAATAAACATATCAACAGATGATCCACCCTGGCAACTGAGGAATTGTCAATATTTCATTTTACATGCATGCACACACACATATTAATCAGTGTGACAAGTACAAGAGTTGATGAGAAAGTGGAGCATCAGGAGCTGTCATGTCTCACCATGGGAGGATCAATTAGTAGAGCCACTGTGGGAAAGACCTTGTCGCTACCTTGAAAAGTTAAACATGTGTATTCCTTTCCCCTATCAGGAATATACCCAGGAGAAATTATTGCACATATGAACCAAGAGATGTATACAACAATCTTCCACAGTATTATTCACAATCACAAAACACCAATAACATCTTAAATGTCACCAACATAAGAATGCTAACTTGTCATATTCGTACAATATATTAGTATATAGCCATGGAAATACAGAAACCTCTGCTGCTCCATTCATTCCTAGGGTTAAGTGCTACCATCGGTGTTCACTGACCAAGAAAAGCAAGACAAAGAAGAAATATGAAAAGCAGAAGCAGACAAAACCATAACCTATACTGCCTTACATACGAGTGTATTTTACAACATAACTAAACCTCAGGACAGTGCAAGCACATGGTGAGGTTGCCAATATAAGGGTCAGCAAAAATATTTTGGTAATGTTCTACCAACTCTTCAGCTGGGGGTTCACACCTGCTCATTTACCTATTCCTTCATTAATCTGTATGTGAATATTACACACACTATATTATATGCACACTATTACATAAAAATGACTCTTGGCAAACCTCAGGTCTTTTTGAAAATATATTTTAAAGATTTATTTGAAAGGCAGAGTTAAAGAAAGGGAGACAAGAAAGATCTCCCATCTACTGGTTCACTCCTCAAATGGCTGCTATGGCTGGGGCTGGACCAGGCCAAAGCCAGGAATCGAACTCCATCTGGGTTTCCTACATGGATGATAGAGACCCAAGGACTTGGGCTATCCTCTGTTGCTTTCCCAGGCTTATTAGCTAAATTGGAAATGGAACAGCCAGGCACTGGCTGGCATTGTAGGCCACGGCTTAACCCAGTGTGCCACAATGCTGGCACCAAAACTTCAGATCTTTATGGTCAGTTTCAACACAAAGTCACATTAAACAACAAAAACAACAACACACACAAAAAAACATAGCTTGGACCAGAGTTGTAGCATAGCAGGTAAAGCCACCACTTGCAATGACATCCCATATGGATGCCAATTTGTGTCCTGGCCTGCTCCACTTCTGATTCAGCTCTCTACTAATGGTCTGGGAAAAGCAGCAGAAGATAGCTCAAGTACTTGGGCCTTTGTCACCCATGTGGGAGACCCAGATGAAGCTTCTGGCTCCTGGCTTTGGCTTGGCTATTCCAGGTACTTGTGGAGTAAACCAATGGATAGAAGAACTCTTCCTCTGTCCCTCTGTCTCTCCCTCTCTTTCTGTAATTCTGTCTTTCAAATAAATAAATAAATTTTTAAGAAACAAATTAAAAAAAAAAAAAACAGCCCCAAGTCAAAGTTTTTAAAATGTAACTTAAAAATGTATGTGGAAGATTGTGAAATAATCTGTAATTGTGTTCTCAGGACCTCTCCTCTCCTGTACCCTCCAGAAGGCCTACGTAAATGCTCAGATTTATTGTTTGAAGAAACAACTGGGAAATCTGAAGCCATTAGCCTCATGTCATTTTCTTTATTGAGAAATAATTTCACAATTTCCTTAACTACAGAAATTCTGGATTTTCCATCAGTGGACAGGAGACCTAGTCCAAGGAGAGAGCTGAAATGAGAGTGATCTTGATCAGAGGTCTCTACAGCCTGGCACCCTATATCCTTGTCCCTCGGGAACCTGCTCAGGGAGACAGTCCCACCAGGGATCAGTTATATCTAGATCTGCATCAGCCACAGTGCACTCAGTGCTGCTGTAGCCACACAGCCCCAGAAGGGAACCCCCACTGAGCTTTATAATAACCTCCCCAGATACTTCATGGAATCCATTTGTTCAAAAGATATAAATTGACATCTCACTAGATGATAGGACCCACCTCTCCTCCTTCCACCCTGAGATCAGGTCTCAGTCCAAGGATCGTCACTATGGGTAGCAGCCTGTGTCCCAGCTTCTGTACCCCAGGAGCCCTGCTAAACATCTCAGTGAGGAGGTTAATTCTGGGGCCACTCCTACCACAGTATAAGCAGCCTGCCCACTTTGTTTTGGTAATGCTTGTTGTGATGCCTCCTAATTTAGGCAATTGGAATTTGGAAGATAATCCTTGCTTTCCCCAGCATCCATTTCTGGGTCTGCATATATTATAGCCTCTCACAATGAACAGGTCGATTTCTTTTCCAGTATCCAAAGCATTTTAGTTTCATCAATTGCTCTTCTCTGTAATGTCTCATCTTTTCCTTTCTCATCATAATGATAACAGCCAGTTCCTCCTTTTCCCATACTATACTTTGCTTATCTGGATAGCAGGAAGCTGGCACTGGTACCTTGTGGCATGTGGAAAGAAGGTGTCCATTACAACAGCCAAAGTGGGGGCAAGTGTTGTGGCATAGCAGGTAAAGTCATCGTTTGCAACACTGGCATCCCATATGGGCACTGGTTTGCATCCTGGCTTCTCCACTTCCAATACAGCTCTTTGCTGATGACCTAGGAAAAGCAGTGGAGGATGGCCCAAGTGTTTAGGCCCCTGACATTGATGTGGGAGACCTGGAAGAAGCTCCTAGCTCCAGGCTGTTGCAGCCATTTTAGAAGAGAGCTAGAAGATGGAAGATCTCTGTCTGTCCCTCTCTCTCTGATACACATCTTTAAAAAAAAATAGCCAAAGTAGGGACCGGTGCTGTGGCATAGCGGGTAAAGCCGCTGCCTACAGTGCCAGTATCCTATATGGGCGCCAGTTTGAGCCCCGCTGCTCCACTTCTGATCCAGCTCCCTGCTAATATGCCTGGGAAAGCAGTGGAAGATGGCCCAAATCCTTGGTCCCCTGCACCCATGTGGGAGACCCATAAGAAACTCCTGGCTCCTGGCTTTGGATCAGCCCAGCTCTGATCATTGTAGACATTTGGGAAGTGAACCAGAGGACAAAGATCTCTCTCTGCTTCTGCCTCTGCCTCTCTATAAATCTGCCTTTCAAATAAATAAAGAAATCTTTAAAAAAAAATCCAAAGTTTAGTTGAGGCCCCCAGTTCACAAAAAGTGGCAATATTTGGTCACTGGAGAAAGATTCTGTGTGTCCTCTTCCTAAGCAAAGTGACAGTCTTTTACTCAATAGTCTCCAAACTCAAGCTGAATCAGTGACTGAGCTGAGTGTGGCAGGTGGTGCTTCGTATCTTTGGACACCAAGGAAGAGGAAGAGAGCTACGCTGTCTTTGGAAGGGCTTGTATTTAAGAAAACAAGCTATCACAGTTGTCTTGGTGGGACCACGTTGGTGAAAGAAACAAGTGGTTTTAAACTATCAAAGTTACCTAAGAAAATCCAATTTTCTTCTCTATTTCCAGAGTGTCAATACACCTCTGTAGGATAGAGAAAAGGATGTGAATTGAGTGAAAATATCACCCCTGCGATCTTATGTCTGAAACGTACATATGGATTTATGGTACCACTGCACAGAGCCCTGCCTTCTCTCCTGTGCTCTAAGCTGAACAGATCTTCCCTAGATTAGCTTTGTCACTATATGTAGCTTTTTCCGGATTGGTCTCCTTGTGACTTTGATTCTGTGAATTTCACATTTAAAAATGTGGTGCCCAGTCTTCTTAACTACCTTTGCTTCTAGGGTTGAACTTCAGCATCTTATCCAAGAATGCTATCGAGCCAACTTGAGAACACAGGCAAGCACTTAATGCTCCTAGAGTCAGGCATTGGTCTCCTAGCTGCAGACTCCAGTTAACAGAATTCCAGGATCCACTTAGCACAAGCAACCTAAGAAAGCTCCACAGAAAATGTGATATGAAGGTCAGGTCATATCTGCTATCTGTTAGAGAACAGCTACAAATCAGAAAGTAGAAGAGACAGTAACAGTTACTCCTTAATATTGTTTCCATGAATAATTCTTAGAAATTTCAAAATGCGTATCATTAAAGACCTGGTTTTAGAACAATACAATGACATTCTAAAGTAATAGCAACATGTATATTGACATGAATTTTATACTCTGTCCTCCCAATAAAATAATGTATAAATAATCTGTTTCTAAGCCCACTGCACCACACCCCAAATGAAGAAATGCTGGACTCACATTGGTGACATATTCGATATCCTTCCAAAGGATGCACTCTCTGGGGAAATCGGCCAAGTCTAAGAAGTGTTCCACTACCACTTGTCCGATTAAGTCGTGGCGAGAGAACCTGTCAAAGTCGTACACAGAGAAGTGAAGCTTTCGTGCTTCGAGGTCGTTGTAGGGAACCGGAAATAAAAACACTTCATCAAAAACAGGGTTCAGGGTCTTTCTGTGAACCTTAGTCTGGTGCTTTGTTTTCCGATCAGGAAGCAAATAGATCTTGACATAAGGATCTGAAGTCCCAGAAAAGTCCTTGGCCGGCAAATTGACAGCTTTGTGAATCTTCACTATGAGCTGCTCTAAGTCACAGTCATATTTTAAAATGAAGTTCAGTTTTCCACAAGCTTTGCTGTTACTCCTTCTCCCATCATCATTATCCAGTGACCTCTGCTTATATAACTCCGGTTTAATTCTACCAATTCCAGTCAACTGCTCCTGCTTTTGAAGCTGCTGGATATTGAAGTCTGGGTTTGACAGGTTGAGTTGTCTTCGGATTGAATTATGCCTTGAATGAAGAGCAAGACAGAGCCAAGTTATAACCTCATTAGCTATGGGTCTTTTAGAAACTTGTGCCTGGAATGTAGGTAGACTGTTATGGTAGGAGCTTAGATCTGTGGACTTTTTTCTCTTTTGGCCTAAATTCAAAATGCTCATCAATGTGAATAAGCTGCTCCCTACGGCTTGAGGCTCAACACTGAGGCCTGGTATCAGGAAATGAACTTACTAACATGTGACCTTGGAGCTTTAAAGGTTTAATGCACTTTCTCAACTGTCTGATGTGCCATTAAAGAAGCTTATCTGGCTGGCAGAATGTAAAGGTTGTACAAACTGCTTTGAAAACAAAATTATCTACTCTTATAATATTCTGAAATTCAAATAGTTAGGTAAGTATTGTCTTTGGAAAGATGAATCGTTCTCTAAATTACACAGAATTTCTTGTCACTGGCTTACAGCTTTATAAGGATGTGAATTCCTAGTTCAAATTCAAATCAAAGCATTTCATCACAAGAAGAATTCTTCCTCAGGTGAAAATACATGTGACTGGATATGTCTGCTTATGGTGCATTGTGTTGGCTTTGACAGGTACAAGAGACAGCTCTGGAATTGTGTTTTTTTGTTGTTGTTGTACTATGCGGGTGATTAATGATCAAGAGTTTTATTTCTGAAATAAACATTAATGACACAAAAATTAAAGGTGGGCTACCATAAATGCATATAGGGATTCAGTTACAGAAGGTTGGATTTGGCTTTTGCAAATTATATATTTGGCAACAGAGTATAAGTATAACGGAATATAATAGGGTATATCCTTACCCTATCAGCTTATTGGTTTAGGTTATAAGGATCCTGAAAGATAGGTTTTAAAAATTTCGTTAAAATTTGTCTTGTTTGTGTGGGTCCTCACAAGTTGAGAGAAATAGTCATTACACACAAGGTTGTTTTTAAGGTTATTTTTGTTTTTAGCCCAGAATTCAGTCATTATATTGTGTTACATGTAGTTGTTCAATAACATTAATTAAAATACCATCTCTGCTAGAAGGTGATGGGAAACAGCCAGGCTGCCTCCTAGGGACTGATAAATAGGTGGAGAGGCAGAGTGAATATTTGGATTTGTCTTCCTTTCTTAAGACTACTTTCTGAAATAAAAATTAAAAATAGGATTATTAGATCCTAAACATGTTTAGAACTACTCTCCCTTGTCACCACAGATGTTGTTAGGCTAAACTTCCCTCTTCAGCTTAAAATAGCCTCTTGGTCACTAATCACCCACACGGTACAAGAGTGCTATCACAGAGCTGTCACTGTACCTGCCAGACACAGCGCTCTACAGCAAACAAATAAATCCCAGTCTCAAAGATTCCCACAACCTTAATGTTCTTTATCTTACAATTTATGGGGTGGGGGGGAAAGGCAGGAGACACTAAGTGCCTAAAACTGGGCTCTGCACTAGCACATCTAGGAAGTCCCATGTCCAGATGTAGGACTGCTGTGGGGCTAGAATGGAACTTTCATCTCGCTGTACTGGACTTTGTGGATAGAAAGGACTGGTAGAGAGCACAAGTATCCTGTCCATGCAGAGGCCAGACGGGGCTGCTACAAGCTCTGTCTCCCTTTGCTATTGATTTTTTTTTTGCAAGACAGATCCAAAAAAGCTTCAAAATTTGGTCCTAGTCAGTTCCCAACATTCTTAGAGGGACTTGTTAGTGAGACTAACTAGCGAGGATTAGCCTGGGTCACTATGGGTGCTGTTCAATTAGTGCTTCAGGCAGGATACACAACAGACTCATAGAATGGCAGATGCCCTAAGCAGCACTCTGGCCTCAGAATCAGCCCTTGAGGCATTCGGATCTGGCTGAAAAGCCCATGAGAGTATTTTAGGCATGGAAAGCCAAGACACTCTGGCAAAAAAAAACAAAACAAAACAAAACAAAACAAAAAAAAACCTAAATGAAAGATCTCTGTGAGTGAGACCCCAGTAGAAAGAATGGGCCATCAAAGAAGGAGGTAACTTTCTCTGAAGGGAGGAGAGAACTTTCACTTTGACCATGGCCTTGTCTAAATAAGATCAAAGTCAGCAAACTCAGAAGGCTTCCATAGCCTTGGCAACTCATGACAAGAGCCTAGGGAGATTGCTGATACCATCAACAAGAGTGCCAATTTGTTAGGTCAACAACAGGAGTCACTGTGCACTTATTCCTCATGTAGGATCTCTGTCCTTAATGTGTTGTTCAATGTGAATTAATGTTATAACTAGTACTCAAACAGTATTTTACACTTTGTGTTCTGTGTGGGTGCAAACTGTTGAGATCTTTACTTAATATATACTAAACTGATCTTCTGTATGTAAAGATAATTGAAAATGAGTCTTGATGTGAATGGAATGGGAGAGGGAGCGGGAGTTGGGAGGGTTGCGGGCAGAACGGAAGTTATGGGGGAGGGCATTGTAATCTATAAGCTGTACTTTGGAAATTTATATTTGCTAAATAAAACTTAAAAAAAAAATTAGTGCTTCAGTTTACACAATAAAAGTGCTCCCCGTAAGTCCTCCTGGATGCTCCTTCTTGGGTCTTGAGTCTATGGTAGGGCAATGATTCTGTATCTACACCCAAGTCCAGGCCCTGCCCCTCTACTTGTCACTTTTCTCCCCAGGGATTGCTGAGCAAACTGTCTGCATAACAATTTACCATTGGGTTTTTTGAATACTGGCTTTAAATTCATCACAGCAACATTGTGTCTTCACCCCTGTCTGCAAAACTAACCCTACCATGTAAATTTAAATATTAATCGCAGATGCGTGGATTTGGCTACTTAGCAATGGAACACATTCTGTTTTACATGCACATTTTCTTAGACATGAGATCTGAAGAGAAATTAGTTCTACATGCTCAGCTGCTGCTAACCTCGATAGATTGCTGGGGGGTGCTTGAGGAGGGCATTATGGAGAGATTTGTACTTCAAAGACCAAAGCAAGATCCCATTCCCTAGGAACCAATTACACAGGAAGCCCTCCACCCCAAATCGTAAGACAAATGAAGAGTCTTCTTAAAAACTCAATCATTGAAAATGATTATCTATCAATGTTTTACATGATTATTTCCATTCCCTATCATCCTCACTCCCATTCAGAATCACGCTTACTATCGGGGAAATAGTTCAATCTAACTGTGAGGTAGTGGTGCACTACAGATAACAAAGACTGCAACAGGGCATGACAATTTCTCACTTCCTGGGGCTTCCTTCAGGAGAGAGTTAGAGTTCACTGGAACTGGGGCATGGGTAGAACGGAGAGCAAGAGCAGCCAGAGAACCACGGTAACTCATAACCTTTCTGTGTAACCTCTGCAGCTCTGGGAGTTGGAAATAAGCAAGCAGGGGTGGGAGGCTGCCTCGGAGACATGAAGGAGAAGGTGGGGTGGAAGAATTGGAAAATCAATATTCCAATATTCCACAGTTCTCATAGGTTACTCAAATGGAGACAAGAAGGAAAAGCAGGCACGCAGTAGGAAGGGAGACACAGAACAGTGTTATGGCCTGAATTCTCCCCATCCTGGATGAGGTGGCTGTGCATGGTCAATGGAAGCGGTGTCTTAGTACAGTGAATAAGCGGCTCTACAGGGCACAAGGGTCTAGAGTGATAGTGACCATTACATTGAGCGAGCATGGCAGGGAGGGATCTGTATTATGAAGCAGACTGCCCTCTGAGTAAGTCTGGGAGTCCTGTATTTTGGTGTCCTCTGGGCTTACGGTACATAATGAATAGAAAGAAGAAAAATAAGAGTGGGCATTGTGATGCAGTGGTTTAAGCTACTGCTTGGAACACCCACATCCCATAACCTGGTATTGGTGTGAGTCTGCTTCCAATCCAGCTACCTGCAAATGCACCTGAGAAGCAGTTCATGATGCTTGGGTTCCTGCTTTCCATGTGGGAGACCTGAATGGAGTCCCTGGCTCCTGGCTTTGGCCGAGCCCAGCCACAGCAGTTATTGTTGCAGTCATCTGGGGTGTGAGCCAGTGGGTGGAAGAGAATCTCTCTCTCTCTCTCTCTCTATGTGTGTGTGTGTGTGACTCTAGTCTTCAAATAAATAAATATATCTTATTAAAAAAAAGAGAGGAAAAAGTGGACCCCGAGGTAGTAGGGGTAGTGGGGAGGAAAGTTGAGAAATAGGTTCCTCTGTAAATAGTCACACCCTAATGCTGTCTCAGAGAGGCTGCCTGCTGAGGTTGGAACTCCCAGTGTCCTCCCTCTTCCATCCTCCATCAGGGCAGGCCAGACTGTTTCCTGCCATAAAACAGGCAAGGAAGAAAACGTGGGCTGCATTTGGCTACCTGAGACCTGAGTTAGAATGTTGGAGACTGAAGAAAGCTTGAGTTCAAAGACAGTTTACAAAATCTGAGAAGCAAATTTCCCACAGCAAACTCAGCTTCATGCTGAGTTACCGCCATGGGTCAGGAGGGGGCAGGAGCCCAAAGGCTAAGGGGTTGTCCTCTCTCCTTTCCTCAAATGTGACTTAACCACTCTTTGTTCTAGTCTTAGTTCCCGAATCAACACCGTAAAAACCAACTTTGTCCATCAAATCTAAAGAAGGAGGACATTGAATACAACTAAACATATATAGATGTGCCGAACAAGGTGTCAAATGGGGTAGAAGGCCAGAAAGGCCAAGCCTAACCACTGCCCTGAAGGAAATGACTTGTCAGGCCGGTAACTACAGGGCAGGGAAGAGGAGGTTAAGTACTGACCAGAGGTAGCTGGAAGCAGAGAGGGAGGAAGGAACACTCTGGCTCAGGAAATTTTCACAGAGGGGAGGGTCCATGAGCTGGACTTGCTAATTCCCTTGGCCTCATCCTCATTTGCTTCTGGGCTGATGCTGAGGACTTCAGCAGAGAAAGTAACAGAACTTTCATCCTGGTTCCCACTCCCCAGCAGGACAGCATCTTCAGCTCTTCCTCCCCAGTAGCTTTCTCCAGAGTCCTTTACATTTTGGACTCTGTAACAGAGTCAGCACCCAGAATCCTCCGCGTCTCTTCTATCACTGGGTTTTCTGTGCAGCCGTGGGCAGGGATGCTCTCTCCTATGTCTCCTCACTTTGATGGCCCCATCTCAGAGGTGACATCCCATGTATCCTTTCCCTGGTTCTGAGGCACCATTGTTGACTGGACTTCAGGCGCCAAGGAGAGGCAAGAGAGAACTTGTAGTTTCTGAACTGTTAATGATGTCTTGCCTATGCTTAACTGGTCATATCTCTACTGGAAACAGTAGAGATATGACCTTCTTTTCCTTCCCAGAAACACCTGGTGAAGAAGAAAGAATTGAATTTTCCTAGCGCACAGGCAGACACCAAAGAAGGGAATTTCCAGGACAGGGAAAGATGAAATCATACTATAAGGTCAGGAGGAAGTAGAAAGCTGAGGCTTTCTTGACCTAGGCTTCTAGGATGACTGAGATAATGAAGATGTAGGCAGCCAGCCTTGGAACCCAGTGGAGGTGTGTGATCGAGTGCACTTGGATACACAGAAGCACGACCTGCTTCCACCCACACTCTCCCAAGTTAAAATAAGTTTGACACTTTAGGGTCACTTTCAAATACCTTAGCTTTTATAACCAAGATGAGCCTTTGTCCACCAACAGTTTCCCTACAGCGGCTCACTTCCCAAGTCTCTCTCCATTCTATTGCTCTCTCTGGCTCCTGTATCCAGTCTTCACTTTCACCTCACATATCTTATACATTCTTTCTGGATTCATCTACTAAGGAACAATATGAGCACATCAATGTGTATACTTGTTGCTCATCTACTGGGCCTTTAAGGGCAAGATATATCTTTTTCTGTCTTTAATACCAAGACTTAATGTAGAATTTTACACATAACACATGTGTAATACGTGTGTCAAAATAGAGGAATGTATAGACAAAACAGTTTGATAATTAAAATCTGAGAGAAAAAAACACACTTAAATTTAGTTTCAAGGTCTTATGGAAGTTGAGATACAGTGAAACAACTGTCATTATTGAAGCAATTTATCAAAAGCTGAAGAAATAACTAAAACAGTGATTTATTTAAAAGTTATGTTTTAGATATTTACATCTCCCCAACGTTCTTAATACACAAAAATATGGCTAACTAAAAATGTGTTGGGGCCAGCTGTTGTGGTGCAGTGGGTTAAGGCACCACCTGCAACACTGGAATCCATATGGACACAGGTTTGAGTCCATGCTACTCTACTTCTAATCCAGCTCCCTGCTAATGTGCCTGAGAAAGCAGTGGAAGATGGTACAAGCGTTTGGGCACTTGCCACCAAATTAGGAGACTTAGATCAATTTCAGGGTCCTGGCTTCCGCCTGGATCAAACTCGGCCATTGCGGCCATTTAGGGAGTAAACCAGTAAATGGAAGATCTCTCTGTTGACCTCTTCCTAACTCTGTCTTAAAAATAAATAAAATAACTGCTTTTTAAACAAAAAGAAATCTGATGATTTCTTCTAAATCAAATGCATAAAGTACAACATGCATTCTTTGTACATTACTTATTGGAATTGTGGCCAGTAACTGGGCCTAAATTTAAAGGATGATGCTTATCTCCACCCTGCAATTTTGTCAGTGTATTTCTGTGACTCTATGGATTGTTTAAGAGATTAGGTCAAAAGTCTAAATGATGGGTGCTTAATGGATGTGAGGCCCAGGATAAACAGGAAGGCCGCCATGGCCTTAACACAAGCCTTCTTCTAGTAAAGCTTCTTAACTGCGTCTATGCCAACCTCTGGGTTGCTATGACTTGGTAACTAACGCTGGCCAGGAGACAGGGCTGAGATCAGACTTTGGCAATATCATGCAGGGCCCCCATAGGCCTGACAGAGAGTCTGTGGTGTGAGAACTGAGATTTTTCAAGAAACCAAAGTGTTACATAGAAATTTTGAGAAGGCTTAAGTAAACAAGATGAAACTTCACCTTGTAGCATAAACCAGAAAATAGATTAGATGGCCTTTCAAGGTTCACTCTATTTTGGGGATCCAAGAATTTTCATATATTTGGAATAGAGATTTTTATAAATCTCTTTTTTGAAAAATTACATAAAAATAACATATTCATATTCTCAGCACACTAGGTCATTAAACAAGTGGGATTTCATCATAATTGAAAAGAATTAGCAGGAATTTTGGATGGGCCCAATAGTAACTGAGCTCACTAGGCACAGAATCTCAACATGCTCGACCTTGGAAGAACAACAGAAAGTCATCCTGACCAGAAACATTCTTAGGAGATAAAGCAAAGCTCATTTTCAGGATGTTTTAAAAAAAAATGCAGTGATGTGAACCATGCAGATGGAAGCTGAAGAGGCCAGGTGAGGTTGGGAGATGGTAAGGATGCCCTTGAATGGGAGTCTAAGTCTTCTGTAAACTGGGCTGAGATGGTGTCTTAAGAACCCTGGGGGCTGGCGCCGCAGCTCACTAGGCTAATCCTCCACCTTGCGGCACTGGCACACCGGGTTCTAGTCCCGGTCAGGGTGCCGGATTCTGCCCCTCTTCCAGGCCAGCTCTCTGCTGTGGCCCGGGAGTGCAGTGGAGGATGGCCCAAGTCCTTGGGCCCTGCACTCCATGGGAGACCAGGATAAGTACCTGGCTCCTGCCATCGGATCAGCACGGTGCGCCAGCCGCGGTGGCCATTGGAGGGTGAACCAACGGCAAAGGAAGACCTTTCTCTCTGTCTCTGTCTCTCACTGTCCACTCTGCCTGTCAAACAAAACAAAACAAAAAACAAAACAAAACAAAACCCCTGGCATGAGTGTGACTGGTGGTGGATGGATGTAGTAAGATGGCAGTGAGAAAGTAACGAACATAATCTGAATGGAGACAGAAGAAACAACAGCTGGAACAACAGGTTACTTAGCACCAACTAATCAAAGAAGACCTTCTCTTCCTCCAACAGGGAATCAAAAATACTACTTTAAAAAGAATGCTAGAAATGCTTTGGAGCATGAAGGAAAGTTCACTCATTTTTTAATTTGAGTTTTCTTATAATGTAATACAGTTTTTAAAATATACTACTTTTAATATGATAAGATCATGAAAAATGATACATATTTCCAGACAATCCACAAAACTAGGTCGCTAGTAATTTAGGTATGAATGTTCTGAATGCATCACAGGGCAAATTGTCAGTATTAGGTCAGAAGCAGATGGAAGGAGTTTAGTTTTCTTCTGGTAGTTCAGATATTAACTAAAGCTGATTTTGGCCATCAGAAAAATAATTTAATTGCATGCCTCCAAAACTAAAATAAATCTTAGTGCAAAATGCATTTTGCAGAGATAATTCCTTTGTTTTCCTTTTATTATTTCCTTTCTCCTCAATTCCCATATGTTAGGATGATGTTTCTCTTTAAAATATGCAGAGTACTTATACATTTTTCTAGAGTAAATATTATGATAATTGTAGTGATATTATTGGTATCAGCTCACTGGAATTGTGGCAGAGTCTTTGTATCAAATCTGATAAAAACACACAGTATTAACACACTGTGTTAGAGAAATCCAGAAAAACTACATGCAGACTAGGACCAAACAGGAGACAATTTCAATGGTGGCTCCAACAGAAAGGCTCTAATGACTGAAGTACTGAAAGGACTTTATGATGAGTCGGCACCACCCCACGAACTCACGACAGCATCAAACAGGGCCCTAGTTATATTTAAGTCCTAAATCTGAAGAGAAATCCTAGTGATAAAATCTGAGGATTTCTTCTAAATCAAATGGCAAACAACCACCCATTTCCTCACAGGAATATTTTAAGTCGAGCTCTTTGATTCAGAATTGGAAATGATGCTAAAATAGGTTTCAGAAAAAAATTAAACCATAAACTGTCATATTCCATCCCACTTAATGTGAATGAGCCTCTAGGATAAACTTTATTAACATAAAAGGGTAAAATCTTATTTCTGTTTCAAGAGAAGAAAAAAAATCTTTTTTAAAAAAACACCTCCAAACTGTGCTCGTGCGTTCCAGATAATAGCACATGTGATTCCTCTGGCTATTGTGCAAGAAAATATTTTCATTTTAAAGAAAGCTGCTTCCTGTGTCTCTATTCTGAAACTTATTACAAAGCAGTTTTTATATCCAGTGATTCAGAACTAGCGATTTCACCTCGACCTCACCTTTGTTGCAACATCTAAGTCTTGGAAGAGGCTGTCTCAATGTTAATGATGATGATGATGATGATGATAGCAATACTAAAGAAAAGCAAAGCTCGCATTCTGAGGCACTCACTAGGTGCAAATCTGTCCACAGCACAAGTTATCATTTCATTCCTAAAACCATCTATACGTCGATACTATTCTTTTTCTTCTATGAAAGAGGTAAAAGGTGAAGGTTAAGGAAAGCTGACTGATGTCACACAAGTGAGAAAGCCAGTTCTTTGGACCCCAGAGCTCATGCTTTTTGTCACTGCACTTACATTACTTGTCTACTTCTTAATAGCACAAAGCATCCAGACAATGGGAAGAGACTGACCCTGACCTTGGGTGCCGTGCAGCCTCACAATGCCTTGGAATGCACAAAGCCTTTCAGACACATTATGGAGCCCACACAGCCTCTTGTGGCCACTGTGTTAGATCAAAGGGACAGTGAAGAAATTCGATAGCACTGGGAGGGCAGCAGGGAAGAGAGGCTGAGCTCTGGTTCTGGTACTGGTACTGGTTGAACCCAGGTTCAAACCCCAACCAGGGTACATATTAACATATAGCTCCTTAAGTTTTTCTCCTACTGGAAAATAAAAATTGTATCCAACTCATACAGTTATAGGCATTAATGAAATGCTGTATATAAAATTATTTTAGAGTATTTGACTTACGGTAAGTTTTAATAACATCAACCATATTTTTGTCATGAAGGAGAGACTAAACAGAACTCAGGGGACTAACTTCAGCTTAAGAGGTCTAGCGTTTTCCCATATCCATGCCTTTGATACCTAATGCACATTTAAAAGGCTACAGACTCCTTAGCTGATCAACATCACTGCTGCCAAGAAGGGGGAATAGGGTAGTCCAAGCCTCGCATTCAGAAAGCAAGGGGGCATTACTGACCGAGCCGAAGACGTTGGCTCTGTGACTTGGCGCTGCACGCGGACGCCATGGGCACAGTTCTCTTGGACCCCTGGCTGGGTTGAGAGGGGGATATCAGGGGAGGTGTGGCTGATCTTCATGGAGGAGTCAGGGCAGGGCGTGGGAGGGTCTAAGAAGTCCTCACTGTTCTCCTGCTCATTGGTTTCTGTGTCCGTGTAGTTAAGAGGCTCTTGGTTGTTGTCTTTGCTACCAGAGAGCAGGCCTCGTTCTCTCCACGGAACCCAGCAGAGTTTCCAAGACACGAAGAGAGACACGCCGAAGAGGGCGAGACCACAGGCAGTGACCACAAGGGTCAGCAGGCTCACTGAGATATCTGCAAAGAAGCAAAGATCAAAGGTCAGTGTGAGTTGGTCGTCTGTGTACAAAGTTAGTTGAAAATGAATTTTAATGGAGAATGCGACTAGGAAGAGGAGAGGGAGAAGGAGTAGGGTGGGAGTGTGGGTGGGAGGGCAGGTATGGTGGGAAGAATAACTATATTCCTAAAGTTGTATTTATGAAATTTGTATTCCTTAAAAAAAAAAAAAAGGTCAGTGTGATCAGTCCTCCTGTGCCCACCCACTGCACAGTGCAGGCAGAACGACCCTCTCATCCACTCATCTCTCAGGAGCCCACATGGAAGCCGAGGCTAGAGGATGCTGCTAGGTCACCTGTTTCTGGGGCAGTGACAATGAGGGTTCAGATACAAACCAGAGAACAAAAGCACAGAGGAGGTAGCAGAATACACAGGCCATGTTTAGAAACAACAGACAACCTGCTGTAGCAAGGAATGGTATATTCAGGGGAACTGGCAATGTACTGGAAGTCAGATGAAACCCTGTCCTACAAGGAGCACAAACCACTGATTTTTTTTTCTTTGAGAAGGGCAGTTTAAACTGTCCTAAAAAATTACTGTCATCTCAGAGAGCTGTATAATATAATTTGGGGATCTTTTAAGCCAAAACTTTTTGAAAAAGATAAATGAGCACACTTACCCCTCCCCCCTCCTCTATTTTTACTACGAACTTTCAAGGGTCTAAGCAAAATGGAGTTCAAGTCCTCTGTGGATTCTGTAGCCTCAAGAATACCCACCACTCATTGGTCAAGTCACTGGGATCCAGGGCATAGTGTCATAGTTTGGGTTCCCCAGTAGCAGATCCTGGGACAAAACTTTGAGAATGTGAAGGAAACACAGCAAGTGGGAGATGTGACCCAAAAAAGGCAGCAGCAAATGGTACATTTTTAAGCAAGTAACCATAGTGGAGACTAGAGGTTAAGCCTGCTGGGGAGGATCCATACGCCTTAGAGTTGCCCTACCCAAGAGGAAAGGACATGCGCTACTTGTACATCAACTCCCTTCAGTCATGTACCCTGCATGGCCAACCTGCAACTCAGGTGGGAGTAATGAGTGTCAGTGATCAGTAAGGTCCCAGTTGAAATCAGTGCAGGGGCCACACTGGAGGTCTTCCAGCATGCAGCAGAGTAGCAAGGGTGAGGGGATGTGGCAAGCAATGGCCACATCTGCACATCGAGTATGGGTCTGTGGTTTTCGAATGGTGTGTGGGAATGCAATAGCCAATGACTGTGCTTCTGACTTTCAGAACAGAAACCAGACCCCACCAGGCATCTGTCTCACCCTACAGTAGAGTCAAGGAGGCTGAAGCATGAACCTGAGCTCACTCCTGGTGTTATGGTGGCTGTAGACACCTGACTTTAAAGGAAATTCCTATGTGGCTTTACTGTGCTCCACTACACTCAGGGGCCCTCGGGATTCTCCCTAGGGTTTGTCTCTACTGCCTGTCATTAATATATACACTGCTTCAAAGTTTTTTGAATGTCCACATGTGCCAGGTACTGTACAAGCCTCTGGAGATACAGTAGAGAACATGACAGACACATTCCATACCTTCACCGATTCATGATCTGGTAAGGAGAAATTAAAAATTAGTTATTCAGTCCTCATAGTTTGGACTATCCACAGCAGCATGAACATTCTGTGATTTATGACAAGTTGTATTTCAGCTGAGGCACCTGCAAGTCAGTTACCTACTGAGCCAACCTGACAAACTGCCATCAGTGAGCTTTTCAACATGACTATGAAGGTACCTGATCATTCTTATAGTGATAAAACTGTTTCCTCATGAAAGTGCTCTTGAGAGAAAACTGCCAGGTGGTCATGAGTCTATCCTGTCTCCTCTGTGTCTCCTGGTCAATCTGTGCCCTTGTGGTGAAATAGCATCATGGATCTGTTTTAAAACACAGGATTCCAGTTCAACAGGAATAACTGAGCTCAAACCTTTGTCATTTCTGTCTCCTCAACTCCCACTGAAACAGGATATAAGCGATGGAAAACAAGGAATGGTAACATCAATCCATCAGTGAACTAGTGACTGTGAGGAATTTCTGGAATTGTTTTAATCAAAAAAAGCCAATCCGTGCAGAAAACTTAACACAGGCAGAAGAAAGGATACTGGGTGCAGATATAAATTAAAAATCTCGGGTGCAGGGGCCAGCATTCGGTGCAGTGGTTAAGATATTGCTTGAGATGCCGGCATCCTATGGGAGAATACCAGGGTTCAAGTCTCAGCTCCATTTCCAATGTCAGCTTCCTGATAATGTCATTCTGGGAGGTAATGGTGATGGATTAAGTACCTGGATCTGTGCAACCCATGTAGGAGGCCTGAAATGAGGTCCAGGCTCCTGATTTTTACCTGACCCAGCCTTTGCCCTTGGGGGCATTTGGAGAATGAACCAGAGGATAGAGGACCTCTGTCTCTGTGCCTTTCAAATAAACAACATTTTTTTTTTTTTGACAGGCAGAGTGGACAGTGAGAGAGACAGAGAGAAAGGTCTGCCTTTACCGTTGGTTCACCCTCCAATGGCCGCTGTGGCTGGCACACTGCGCTAATCCAAAGCCAGGAGCCAGGTGCTTATCCTGGTCTCCCATGCGGGTGCAGGGCCCAAGCACTTGGGCCATCCTCCACTGCACTCCCTGGCCACAGCAGAGAGCTGGCCTGGAAGAGGAGCAGCCGGGACAGAATCCAGCGCCCCGACCAGGACTAGAACCCGGTGTGCCGGCGCCACAGGCAGAGAATTAGCCTAGTGAGCTGCGGTGCTGGCCAAACAACATTTTTTATTTTAATCTCAGCTACTGGGCAATTAGGGCAGAGAAGGAGCATAAGGAGTGGAATAGGAGGTCAAAGTAAAAGGTGCTAGAAACTATAGTTCTTAGAGCCCCAACAGGAGGTGGAGGAGAGCATAGTTGCTTCTCAGGCCCCACTTGGCTCTGATGGCTCACACAAAATTTGTGCAGACTTCTACATTAGGTGGTAGTGCTGGTAGCCAGGGAAAGATGAAACTCTCCCAGTTTCTCAGGCTGCCACAGAAAACATCAATCCCCATCCCCCTCCAACAGAATCTGAAAAGCAAAATACACTCTGCACAGAAGCAAAATCCCTTAATACTTCCAGCAATCCACATGGAGGCAGAACTCCTTCCCTCTGTTCTGTTAGTCACTTCGGCTCTGTCCTGACACAGACAGCACCACACAGATAGCACGGGAAGGGCTGGAGGAGCAAAACGCTGGGAAACACTAGAGTTTAAGGAGTGTGATGTGATGGCTGTTTATTACTGAATATTCACTGTCTGTGCCACAGTGCCCTCCTCCAAGGGAGAAGCATAAATCCCCATCTGCCAATGCTGGTCCCCACCATGTGACTTCTCTGCCCAGAGGAGGACAAGTCCATGTAGCCCATGTCAACTCCGAGTACTCGAGCTCTCACCTTCTGCATAAGACGAGTCCTGAGATACGGGATTATCTTCTGACTGGTGTGCCACAAAGAGAGGACCTGTAGCATAGGTCCAAAGTCTAAATGAAGAGTAAACTTAAATCTGACCCACATCTGTGGCAGGGCTGCAGGTGACACACAAGTATACATGACTAATTTACCATCCAAAGTTGGGACACTGTTGAGAGGGAGAGGGTTCATATGAATAATTGCATGAGGATAAGCTACCTAACCCAGGATTGTCCAGTGTAAACTAGGATAAATGGTCACCCTGCACTTAAGAATCCCACCTGAGCTGTGAATTCATTCACTCACCTTGACATAGACAACAACAAACTAAATTGAAGGCTTAGCCTGTGTTTCTCAGTAACCAGGGACCCCAAACCAGGTCAAGAACAACTCCAGGCTCAAAAGTCAGCCTCCTCTCAAGTCCAGTCATGGGGATCGTGAGAACAGAGACTTTATCCATTTCAACAATGAAAGCCAAACACCTCACAGAGATCCTGGCACCTAGTACGTGTCAATAAATCACGAAGCCTATCTGAGGAGCCCTGTAGCTACCTGCTATGTCTATCTGTAAGCTTGGGGGTGGGGAGGAACATGGATGGGGGATGATAATTGCATTCCTAGTAACAGAATTTCTGCAGAGAGCAGTTACAAAAAAATTCTGGCAAATGGCAAGAAAGGCCTCCTCTTATTTACTTGAAGGCACCATGTGAGTTAGCAGTGGGCCTAGGAATGCCTCCCAGAGAAACCATTGGTGACCTTCGGTGCCACTTTAGCCACTAAGTGTAACCATCTGGACTGCTGCTAATGAAGTTCTCAGTGTGCCCTCCACACACTACTTTGTGCTTTTCTCTTTTTTCAGAAAACAGCTCAAGTCACTAAGGCCACACGGCTCACCTCAGGTCAGTGACCTCAGAAAAGGGAAAGGGAGATCCATTAGAATCACAGAATTTTATTTAGAAGGAAAGAATTATTTCTTATGATAGCTGGCAGGTACAAGGCCTTCTTTATTGTTAATCTTTAGGCTATATATTCTCTGACATATGGTATATATCATAATTAAAATTGAAAAACAGTGACAATACAAAATGAGCTAACTTTTCTAAAGAAAAGGGATAGTGTAATTGGTCCTTTTGTCCAAGGATCAAGGAACTAAGTAGATGATAATTTAGGGATAAAAGGAGGCAAAGGATGCACTCTTTCTGACCCGGATCTCCACAGTGTTCCTGTGTTGGGTGCTCACTGCATGCAACTGTACCTAGAGCTGCGTGGAGTGTGCCCTTCCCACCTGCAATCAGGCCTTAGCCATGGCATGTGATGTACAGCAACAACATACTTGCTCATTGGCCACAGTACCCTGTGCCACCACAGGAACCAGCAGACATCCTTGAAGGACACCTGTCAGTCTAGGTTAAACCTAACTAAAGGAGTGGACTGGTTTTAGAAAACCAACAATGATGGGTCTTCAAAAATTTCCTGGAAAAAAATGTATATCATGAGAACAACTATGCATGGATTTAAATTCTTTTTCATTTTTATTTTATTTGAAAGGCAGAGAGAAAGAGTGACACAGAGGGAAAAATTCCTTCCATTGGTTTACTATCTAAATGCCTATTACAGGCAGGGCTGGGCCAGGCCAAAGCTAGGAGTTCAGAATTCAATTGGTATTTCCCACAGGGGTGGCAGGTGTCCAACTATTTGAGCTATCACCTGCTGCTTCTTAGGATGCACATTAGCAGGAAGGTATATGTGGAAGCAGAGGCAGCACTTGAACCCAGGTACTCTGATATTGGACGTAGGCATCCCAAACAGTGTCTTAAACACTGTGCCAAACACCTATCTCCTCAAAATACACTTGTCTTTAAAAAATTTTTTAAACTATATACTTACTTCATTTATCTGAAAGGAGGAGAGAAAGAAAAGGAGAAGGAGATGGGTCGAGAAAGAGGAGAGGCAGGCAGGGAGGGAGAGGGGGAGAGGGGGAGGGAGGGAGATCCTCCATTCACTTGTCACTCCCCAGAAGGGTACAAGCAACATAAACCTCAGATTCATTTGATGCAGATGGTCTATAGATACCACTGAATAAATCTCATCACATGTATACACACACATATCATACATGCACACAAACAGGCTCAGAAATCAATGCTTTCCTGATTCGCAGACAAATGAGGGCCTAATAAAGATAACACTGGTAAATTTAGTTAGGAAATCAGCCCACGGAAAACTGGAGGATATCACATGGGGCCTTTCAGGGAAGCGCTGATGTAATTAGAGAGAAGGAATGGGAAGGACCAGATAGCTCTGATGATGAGATGTGAAGTATCCCAGGGAACTGAACCAGTGAAGAGACTGTCTTAGAAGAAACCTTAGGGATCAGCCTGAAGAGCCCACGTCAGAATTTTCTCATTACCATCCCTTTCATGCACCTACAAAGCCTTCATTTAATACTTCAATTTTGGTATTTTTCCTTTTTTAAGAAAACTTTTATTTAATAAATTTTGAAAGTACAACTTTTGAATTATAGCAGCCTTTCCCCCCATAACCTCCCTCCCACCCACAACCATCCCATCTCCCACTCCTCTCCCATCCCGTTCTTCATCAAGATTCCTTTCAATTATCTTTATATACAGAAGATCAACTTAGTATATACTAAGGAAAGATTTCAACAGACTGCACCCACATAGACACACAAAGTATAGAGTACTGTTTGAAGATCAATTTTACTGTTAATTCTCATAGCACAACACATTAAGGACAGAGGTCCTATATGGGGAGCAAGTGCACAATGACTCCTGTTGTTAACAGTTGACATTCTTATTTATGATGTCAGTAATCACTGGAGTCTCTTTTCATGAGCTGCCAAGGCTATGGAGTTCACAAACTCCGACTTTATTTAGACAAGGTCATAATCAAAGTGGAAGTTCTCTCCTCCCTTCAGAGAAAGGTACTGCCTTCTTTGATGGCCTGTTCTTTCTGCTGGGACCTCACTCACAGAGATCTTTCATTTAGGTAATTTTTTTTTTTTTGCCACAATATGTTGGCTTTCCATGTCTGTGAAAATCTCATGGGCTTTTTAGCCAGATCCGAATGCCTTAAGATATTTTCATACTTTATAACATGAACATGTCTTAACTTTATAAAATTTTTATTTCAAAAGTGTTAAATTTACAAAACAAAAATTGTGAAGTAGTACGAAGAGTTCCCATTTACATGACACTCAGCTTCCCCCATTCTTAACATCCTATAAAAGTAGGATATATTTGCCACAATCTACAAACCACACTTGACTTTCCCTATTGACATATTAGTGTATTTGTCACAACCAATAAACCACATTCAGCTTCCCCTATTTTTCCTTTTTCTTTTTTTTTTTTTTTTGCATTATTTATTTATTTGAAAGGTAGAGTTACAAGGGGGGCGGGAGACACACACACACAGATCTTCCATCCACTGGTTCACTCTACAAGTTGCCACAATGACAGAGTTGGGCCAGACAGAAGCCATGAACCAAGAGCTTCTCCCTAGTCCCCAGTGTGGGTGCAGGGGCCCAAGTACGTGGGCCAACTTTTGCTGCTTTCCCAGATGCATCAGTAGGAAGCTGGACTGGAAGTGGAGCAGCAAATCAGTGCCTATATGGGATGCTGGCATTGCAGGTGGCAGCTTTCCCTGCTATGCCACAGCTCTAGCCCCTCACCTATTTTTTCAATCCAAACTTCCTCCATAACTCCCACTCCTATCAGCCTCTAGTAATAAACATTCTCTGTCTGCATTTCTTTAAGCTTCTGAAACTTAAAAAGTATTGCTGAAAACCTAAAACTGTTATAAAAACAAATAAGGTCTATTATAAGAGGAGGAGGAGGAAGAATGTTGAGTTCAATCAGCATAGTATTTTGGGGTTATCCGGTGAAGGAGAACTTGGCCTCATACACACTTCAATAGGCCAGGGAAGATATTCTGAATGGTGATGCTGAAGCATACTGGATAAGAAATATACATCAGACTTCAGGTTACAGACAAATGCTTCAGTGTTTCAATGATTAAACTTAAGTTGTGTGAGAAATGCAATTTTGCACAGACATTGCTCTTTAACCACACTATAGGCACCAAAGCACAGCAAGTGTGAACACAGGTTCTAGAATCATACAGTCAAGGTCTGCATCCCACATTAACTGTGTAACCTTCAATAAATCTCTCTGCTTTTGTCATAGTAACATTGGGATAAAAATAGCATCCACCTCTTGGGGTTGAAGTGAGCGCTTAGAAAGGTACTGGTGCTCAATAATTTCATATATTTTTTATTTTTTTCCATGAAGTGTCTAAGGATTTGGCTGCTCTGCATGAAGACTTATTCTTACTGCCAGTAAGTAATCACCTTGGTTACCAAATTGTGAGATTTCCTACAGTTTTATGAAATGCGTTTGTATCAAGAAAATATCAGTTGCTCAATAGGTCCTTATTGAACTGAACTACTGAGGACAAGAGAAGGAGTTCCTCCTGAGCCACTGGTACTGGCTAAGAACTAAACTAAGGGTACAAATAAAAATAGTCCTTGCCCTCAAGAAACTACTAGTCAAGCAGCTTCAATAGGTCATTCATCATTCATGGAGTACTACCAGAGCCCCAAAGCCCAGGATACACAATCCAACCTGGGATTCAGAGAAAGCTTCCCATAAGCAAAAGATGTGACACCAAGAAGTGGGGGTGCTGCTAGAACACAGACCTAAAAATGTAGAAGTGGATTTGGAGTGGGGTAGAGCCTAGAGAAACATCAAGATACATACTGGAGAACGCCTTCACTGCGGAGAATGGACTGGGGAGGGCAACTTCGGTGAGAAACTTACTCAGAAACACAGGAGTTGTAGAGGAAGCCTCGTCTTCTTAAAGAATTCCCAAGTAGTCGTGAACATATTGCTGGTAGAAGTGTGAATGGTAAAGGCCATTGTGATGAGGTCTCACATGCAAATTAGGAAGACACTGTTAGAAACTAGAGGAAAGATGGGCTTTGCTATAAAGTAGCAAAGAACTTGACTGAATCAGGTTTGTGCTTTATTGTTTTGTGGAAGGTAAAGCTTGGACTGACAAAACTGGGAGCTGGCCAGTGCTGTGGCGCCATCTGTGATTCTAACATTCCATATGAGCAGGGGTTCAACTGATGGTTGCATCACTTTTTTTTCTTTTTTTAAAGATTTATTATTTATTTGAGAGGCAGAGGTACAGACAGACAGAGAGAGGTCTTCCACTCACTAGTTCATTCCCCAAATGGCCAAAACAGCCCGAGCTGGGCTTATCCAAAGCCAGGAACTAGGAGCTTCTTCTGGGTCTCCTACATGGGGGCAGGGGTCCAAACACTTGGGCTATCTTCCACTGCTTTCCCAGGCCATTAGCAGGGAGCTGGGTCGGAAGTGGATCAGCTGGAACTTGAACCAGTGGCCAAATGGGATGCCAGCACCACAAGCAGAGGCTTAACCTACAGTGCCAGCCCTGCTGCTCCACTTCGGATCCAACTCCCTACTAATGTACCTTGGAAGCAGCAGAAGATGGAGCGAATGTTTGTGCCTCTGACATCCAAGTGGGAGATCCAGACAGAGTTCTAGGCTCCTGGCTTCAGCCTGGCCCTGCCCCAGCTGTTGTAGCCATTTGGGAAGTGAATCAAAGGATGGAAGATCTGTGTCTATAACTTCGCCTTTCAAATAGATAATAATAATAATAAAAAAAACCTGGGTACTCAGCTAACGCTAATTCTAAACAAAGTATTGAAGGTGTGTGGCTTGGTTCCTCCTGACTGGTTATACTAAAATTAGAGAAGAGAGAAATTACTTAAAGACAAAATTGTTAAGCAAAAAGGAACTGGTGCTTAAAGGTTTGGTAAAGTTCCAGTCTATCCATATTGCAAAAAATCAGAAAGCATATTCAGAAGAGAGCAGTGGAGTACGGCTAAGGGACTGTTTGATAAGGAGATTAATATGGGTATGAAACACAGACTTAATCAGCCATCCCAGCAGGAAAACTGCCAGTCTAACTGCAGAGGAAGGAAATGGGAAGGGACAGAAGGAGGCTGTCAGATTTGGATTTTACAGGATGGGACCATAAAGCTGTTCAGCAGGGAACATGCTCTATTCTTCAAGACAAAGGAGGAATGAAGCTGAAGAACATTAAGAGATCAGGATGTCTGCCTCTTAGGTTTCAAAGGTGGTGGGGGGCACAGCTGTGCTTTTAAAGGGCCACATGGTCTCCACCCAAAGCCCATGGGGACAGGTCCTCTTAGAGGTGCAGGAGCAGGTAGCAGGACCCTGGGGGTGCAACTCATGCTTGGCAAAGTTTTGGGGTCTGGGCTACAGGTCCAGAAGGTGTAACCAATGCCCCAGTGGCTCCCAAAGACAAGATTTCAGCTCCAGTGGGCTGGGAGGATGGAGCATTGGACCAAAGAGCATTAGTTCTGAGCTTTAAGACTTCAGAGTTCCTCTTGTAGCTTGCACTTACTCTGAACCTGATACTGCTTTATTCTCTCCTATTTCTCTCTTTGGGAATGGAAATATCGGTCTTCTGTTGTTGTTTGATTTCGTAAGTTCACAGCTGAAAAAGCAATTTGCCTCAGGATGAATCACACCTGGAGTATCACCTAAATCTGATTTAGATGATATTTAGATGAAACCATATTTTAGACTTTAGAGTTAATATTGGAACAAGTTAAAATTCAGGGAGCTTTACCAATGTAATGAATGTATTTTGTAAGTGAAAAGGACATGGATTTGAGGAGGCTAAGAGTGAAGTTCATTATAGACTCCAAATTTCATATGCTGAAATCTTTATTCCCAATGTGATGGAATTGGAAGTTAAGGCCTTTGGGAGGTGATTAAGTCATGAAGGCTTTGTTCTCACGAATGGGATTAGTGCTCTTATAAAAGAGACTTCAGGGAGTTCCTTTACTCCCCCCCACCCCCCCACCATGTGAACATACAGTGAGAAAACGACTATCTGTGAACCAGGAAGCAGGCCCCCACCAGACAGCGAATCTTGTGGCACCTCAGTCTTGGGCACCCCAGCATGCAGAGCCATGAGAAGTGAATTTCTGTTGTTTATAATCCAACGAGACTATGGTATTCTGTTATAGCAGCCTAAACATACTAAGACACCATAGATGAGGAGTGAGTCAAGTCCTATTTATAATTGTTTTTCATAGACAAAGATCAGAGCCAGGTAGGTCATCTGGCCACGTGATCAAAAGACATTATCAGGACAAGGGAAAGAACAGGGTTTCTGTCTATGGCTATGCATGTTGTATAGCTCACAACTTATGCAGCTTTACATGGTGGGCTGCAAAAGAGCTTGCATATCTGGCAGGGGTAGGGAATGTCCAGCCTGTGGGCTGAAGGAGGCCAACAAAATCATTTAGCTGACCTGGCCGAGGCAACTGCAGGCAGGACTCAACACTCAATATATCTTACAGCAGACTAATTTTTTAAGTTGATAATTTTGTATGGCATGTGAAAGATGTTATAAATGTGTAAATGGCACATGTCAGAAAAAAGGTCTCCTATCGCTCATGGATCTAAGCTCAGCTAACTCACCGTTTATATTTTGTGACTTTGGGTAAGTCATTGCCCCTCTATAGTCTTCCTTATCTGTCGTAAAGGGCCTGAACGTGGCTTTCACACTTATGGTTTTTGTGAGATGCCAAATGACTTGGGTCCATGCCACTGTCTGTATCTAGGACTGAAGACTTTATAAAATAAGTCCCTTTAGTTACCAAAGCACTATCCAACTAGAGGCTACAGTTCAGGGCTACTCCAGTTTTTCATTCTTAAAGCAGACACGAAGCTATCTTAGCACTGGCTCATGGTGAAAATTGCAAGGATTAAGGGGTATTAACTTGGGCCTGCAGGGGCCACACTATTATTAAGGTACTGAGCCAGGTAAACAGCTCATACAACTGCCTTAACTCTAAGAAACCCAGCAGCTACTAAAATGAATTAGAACACAGAAATCGGCAAATGGCATCAACTGCATTTTTCTGTGATTGACATAAAGCAAGGAACAGCTACAATAATAGGACTCTGGCGCTCAGATCCTATTCTCAGAAGGCTGCCCAGATGATTCTGCCTGTGTTAACTAAGCAGCTGGCCTAAAATTAGCATTGAGAGAACACTTTCTGTTGCACCTTCTATTTGCAAAGTGCTGTCTCATCAGTGTGATCAGCTCTTCTTCGCTCTGGTGTCACCACCTCTGTCTCAGCCAGATGAGGCAGGGGCTGCTGAGGCTACACAGGGGCTGCAGCTGTAAACACTAAGAGCTGGATTTTAGCTCTTGTGTCTATAATCCCTTGCTGCCAAACCCTGTTGCTCTAAGCCCCTGCTGGCTACGTAATAATAAGTTTCAGGAATCATTATCAAGCTTGCTACTGTGTTTCTACTCTTTTTACTTGATCTCTCTAGAAATTATTTAATTGGGGAAAAAAACTACATTAAAAATGTGTTACCACCTGCTTAATTAAAAGTGCTTGCAAAATCTACAATGTTTTCTGTAACAGGGGATTCTGGCTTGTGTAGTGTAACTGCAAACACTCAGGTGTGCTAGGATTCTTGCACAACAATGCGAAGTCTAATGCTAAAGGTTTTTAGATAATGAGGACTTTTTGCAGGAAAGGAACACTATGAAGCATAACTCAAGAACACGTTGGGACAGGAGATGGGCCAAAGAGATCATCAATATTTCTTGGTGTGTCCATGGGAAATCCAAGCCCCAGCCTGCAGGGGGATGGGAGTGGGCAACTGGGGCTGTTACTGCTCTTGTATCTGTATGAGGGCCTTTCACAAGGCTTTCACAATGTTTCCTGACATGCCTGCTTTTTTTGTTGTTGTTGTAAGATTTGTTTATTTTGAAAGGTAGAGTGATAAAAAGAGGGACAGAGGGAAGGAAAGAAGAGGAAGACAGAAGGAAGAAGAGAGATAGGGAAAGAGAGTGCGGGAAGAGAGATCTTCCATCCACTAGTCCACTCCCCCAAATGACTGCAACATCTGGAGCTGGGCCAAGCTGAAACCAGAAGGCAGAAACTCCATCTGGGCCTCCCAAGCAGGTGCCAGGGTCTCAAGCATTTGAGCCATCATCCGCTGCATTCACAGGTGCATTAGCAGGAAGCTGGATTAGAAGTAGAGTAGCAGGAACTTGAACCTGCATTCCAACATAGGATGCAGGCTACCCAAGCACTGACAGTCTGCCAGGCCACAACATCCACTCCACAACATTTTTTTTTTTTACAGAGTTGGACAGTGAGAGAGACAGAGAGAAAGGTCTTCCCTTCGTTCGTTCACCCCCCAAATAGCTGATACAGCTGGAGCTATGCTGATATGAAGCCAGGAGCCA